GCCAAAGTCTCAAATTTTTAAAAATCAACCCACTGTGAGAATTACAGTTTACCTTTTTAGAGTTTAGCTGCGCACTACGTTTAGTATGCAATATACGTGAATAAGTGTTAGCCTGAACAGCCAGATATTTCTAAATGTGCACTCAATTCTTCCACTGCTCAAGCAATGTCTGAAGGCAGTAAGAAAAAAAGAAGTCATTTTAAAGGAGCTCAGTCACGGTTTGCACATGTTGAAAAGTTTAGCCTCAATTTTTCAAATTTGTCGTTTGTAATCCATGTTAGTCTTCTCCATCCTTAGCCATCCTTGTTCCTTTATCATTGTCTTTGGTGTTTTTCTACCCAGGGCTCAAAATTAAAAAAATCCTTAAGTCACCATTATTTTGGTGACTAAGTGGTAAAACATAGTCGCCAAGCGTTAATTTTTAGTCGCCAGATAGAAGAGACGCAGTCTGTAGGCATACATGACATACTCAACGCTCAAGGGCTTGCAATGCATTATAGGGTGGTTTTGAACAGGGGTAGCTTTTTCAAAGTTTTCTGATGTGAGAGGATCATTTATTTTAATGTGCCTCAAAATAGAGAAGCCCCTGAATCAAGCATGGCGACCCAGTTGGCAATCAAAGAATCATGGGTTTGGTTTATTATATCTATTCGAATAAATCGTACCTTTCATCCACAAGTAATCGTGTTTTCCTTTGAGGGTAAAAGGTTGACAGAAGAAAAGGTCAGTCGCCCACTGGCGACTAGTTCTTAATATCTGGTAGCCAAGACCTGATTTTTGGTTGCATTGGCGACCAGTGAGTCGCAATTTTGTGCTCTGCTATCTTATTAAACTGTTATTTTCAGGTTTCCTACCATTTAAAGTTAATTTTGTATGTGGCCAAAATAACTCGAAATACCCTGACTGAGCTCCTTTAAGTAAGTACTAAATAGATGATAAAGCTCAACAAAGACACATGCATGTACATATAGTTTCACTGATTGGTGCTGTCATTGCATCGTACATTACATGTATGCCTCCAAAGTCATGAGAGGATTGAACACTCAAGAAAGAGATGTCTCTTTGCACATGCAAGATAAGCTGCAATCAGTTTTTGATACTAACTGGAAATGGGAGAGTTATGGTAAACAGGGCTCCATCTTTAGTCAGTACATCAATGCAGTCATTCTGAACTATACAAAGGCTATGCAATGGTTCACCTAAAAATGGAGACAAGTCACAGTTTTATTCACACATAAATATATGTAGTATTATTGTAATTATAGCATGCAGATTCTTAAGACAATGGGAATACATTTATGACAAAGTTAGACACAAAGTCCCAGTTCCCCTGGGATCACACCCTCCAAAGTCCCAGTGCCCTAGATTTAAGCAACAGAGTACTTTTTCTGAGTTTACATAGCCTCGTCTAAACACGAGGGAGGTTGGGACAATTCAAGTTGGTTATGCAAACCCGAGATGCCGTCAAGGGTTTGCATGACTTTTGAGAATTCTCCTTGCCCCCTGAATATTTAGATGAGGCTACATGTATCTAAACACAGAACAAATTTTCTGCTGCTTTTACAAAATATTTCAATCTCAAAATCTTGCCCAAATCTAAAATGTCACAACCAAGTTTACAGTCTCATCTAAACACACCTATCGGCCAATAAGCACCACCAAAGTAGCTCAGTTATTATGTAAACAGCTGTATTTATAAGAGCCATCCCATGGGCTAACATGTATATTTAGAATTGGCCCTGAAAAAATGATGTGGTTTCCTCTGGCTATACATCAGTTATGTTTAATGCCTGATGAGTCCCCAGCAGTTTACGTGTACATCAGTGGCAATGAAAGTTAGGATCTCATTCTCTTCACATTT